GTATGTTCTGGGTGCTTCAGCTCGGGGAGTACCTGTACCTTGAGGGAGTATTGTTGCTGGTTCCCATTTCGTTTCGATAGGATGTCTTATGGTCACTGGCTGGTTGTTTGAAAGTGGGGGCAACTGTTTCGCACTCTTGCCATGATCGACATTTGTGTGTTTCTTGTCTGTGTTCTTTCTATCTCTTCTGCCTTTTGTTGCCCCTGTTTTTTCCTCGGTAATGAGTCTTCAATTTGTCTGCCAAAAAGAATGCGTGCCGGGGAGGGCAGCTTGTTGTCAATCGGGGTAGTTCTCAGAGCTTGGATAGCCTTGTATTGATCTTGGTTTGATCCTAAAGCTTTCCCCTGAGTCCGTTTCACCAATTTCATCTGGCTTTCAATGTATCCATTACTTTTTGGGTAGTGAGGTGGGCTTGTTTCATGTCTGAAGCTGTATTCTCGCGAGAACTTTCTGTATGGGGATCCACTGAAGTGGGGTTCGTTCTCGGATCTAACCACTTTTGGTATTCCTTGTTCACAAAAAAATTGCTTGGTGAGGGTGACGATCTTGTGACTTATTATGCTTTGGTTCTTTGCGATTTTCCTCACATCTGGGACTTTTGAATAGTAGTCACTTATATGGAGATACTCTTCTCCTTTGAGATAAAAAAGGTCAGTTCCTATCGTATGCCATGGTCTTGGCAGAATTATTCTTTATATCAGTGGTTCCTTTTGCTGTCCACTTTGGTGTTTCTGGCACGTTTCACACTTCCTGACAAAGTCTTCAATGTCTTTGTTAATATCTTTCCAGAACAGGGTGGTGTCGGTGGCCTAGTGGTTAGGCTCTCGGACTCGCAACCGTAGGTTCGTGGGTTCGAATCCCGTCAGGACCCGATGTTGTGTCCTTGGGAAAGGCACTTTACACGAATTTTCCTCACTTGACCCAGGTGGGAATGGGTACCCGGGTATAGACAGCGAAAGATCTTGTCAGTTTGTTAGTGTTTGAGCGCTTAATCAGCTGCTTGCACTGTATGCTTCCCGGGAAGCTGAGAATGTTTCGGAGTTTCTATGGTCTGCTGGGGTAATAATATAGTGTAAAGCGCTTAGAGCTTGCTGTTGAGCGGGGATACGCACTATAAATTATTATTATTATTATTATTATTATTATTATTATTATCATTATTATTATTATTATCATTATTATTATTATTATTATTATTATCATTATTATTATTATTATTATTATTATTATTATTATTATTATTATTAACACACTTTCCCTTGCTCTCAGTTTGGTTTTCTCTAATAACCCAAAGTGAGGTTCGTGCAATTTGTTCAGGACTTCTGATTTCATCGTCTGGGGTATGATGATTCGGTATCCCTTCATGAGCACTCCATCTTCAATTGAGATTTCATTTCTGTAGTTCCAATATGAACAGCATAGTTGTGGAACATCTTTGATATTTCCTGATCACTCATTGTAGATCGTCTCTTTCCGGGCATTGAGTTCTGTGTCTGTTTTTGTGTTCTCTGAGGACAGTTTTGTTCAAGTCTTTTGGGTCTAAACAAAGATGTAAACTTCCATTCGGTTTTGTTCTGTAAACCAGACTGTTGACCCATTGAGTAGGTTGACCTTCTTGAATGTTCTCAATGATCATATTTTTTCTCATTTCTTTGTGCTTTTCCTTTATTTTGGATTTGATCTGGATTGGCACTTTCCTTTGAGGGGGGATCACTGGTGGGACATCTACGTTTGTGTGTATGTGATTTTGGCCTTCAAACTTTCCTATGCCTCTGAAGGTCTCAGGGTACTTGCTGATCAGGTCTTCTTTGTTCTTGATATGTTCTTGAGTTGCATTTCTGTTCAATGCGGTAGTTCAGACTGATCAGGCCGAGAGCTTGCAGTGTCGGTAGTCCAAGAATTGCTGATCCCTTGTCTTCCGTGACGCAGAAGATTGCACATTCTGTGTTGTCTTTGTAACTGCATTCAATGCTGCGGGTTCCGAATTACCTTATTTGGTGTCCACCATATCCAGTCAGTTTGACTTCAGAGAGTGCCAAATCGATTGGTGTCTCATCTTTGTCAACTTTGGATGGGAACGTCCTCCTGTACAGTATTAGTGGCAAGGCGTTTCCTTTGATCCAGTGTCTATATTTGCCTTCAGCGTCGATTTACTCCGCTCAGGTAACTTGACTTCGACAGCTGCAAAAGCTTCACTGTCACATTTGCTCAGCTTTTTTGTTCAAGTGTACAATTATACTGTACTTTTTCTTCTTCTTCTTCTTCTTCTTCTTCTTCTTCTTCTTCTTCTTCTTCTTCTTTTTTCTCTAATTTGAGTCATCCCCCATAGTGATTTCATTGGTCTGGTTATCTATGAGTTTCCTTCTGTACTTTCTTGAAGTGGTCACTTTGGTTTCGAGCAGGACATTTAAAAAAAAGGGTGAGAGGTACCTCCATAATTAGTACAAATTGTATTTGGCTGGATCTTTGAACTGGACCCGTACTTGGGTTTGTGTTTAGCTGATGGGTTGTAGACTTTAGGTGACGAACTGGACTTTTTCCTCTGCAAAGTCTGGACTGACATTCTATGTTGGCTATCTAATAGTCCCATTCCTGATTTTGAGATTTCTTCAATCTTGCACATTTGCAGTGCGGTATCCAGTGGAAGTGTACTCTATCTGAGTAACCATTCTTTCAAGGGTTTGTCTCTCAGTCCCACAATAAGTCTGTCTCTTACTAGCTCGTCTTCTAGCTTCCAGTAATTACCATTTTTACATAATTTCCTGAGTTTTGTGTCGTTTTCTTCCGCACTTCCCCCCTCCCCCCCCCCCCCCCCTCAGCTTGACTTGACTTGCTGTATTAAACTTGTACCTTTCTAAGGTGATGTTTGCTTTGGGAGTGCAGTAGTTATTAAATCTTTCCATTAGTGGGGCCACTTTGTTTCTTTACTCTTCTTTGTCTAAATCTTCCTTCCTTCCTCTCCTATGAGGTAGAGGATAGCTTGACATTTCTCTTTCTCAAGATTGTCTTGCATTGCTAGATCTATGTATGAAGTTATTGTCTCTCTCCATGATTTCCACTGTCAGCTAACTGGCCTGCTTCATTCCTGAAATTCATAGGCTGTGGTGGTGGCAGTTTTAGTGCAAGACTAAAGGGAGGCAAAACTTGTTGACTTTAGAGCTAAGAGGTTGCTTTAGAGATAGGAAACTTTGAGCTGGTTGCGTCCCTTGGTTTACTCACGGAACTTGCGTGACGAAGGCCTAGATCTAATTGTACCGGTGGAGACCCCGTCTTCTAGATTGCCCGAGTGCGCGTATATTTAATAACGAAACTTAGATCTATCTAGATCTAGATAAAGACTTACATAATAAAGTCAATGATTTTACTTGTCAATGTCATCACTTGTTCAGTGGTCAAACCTTTTCACTTCTGACACCATGTAATGATGTTATGTATTCGTGATATTTAATCTATGTCAGACGAGCTCAAGATTATAACAAACATTCAGCCTTATTGATTCCATAGGGAAGGGAACGGTTTATTTTCGTATCGTACATCTTCACTATATTCGAGTATAAGTATGGAATATCGAGACAAACCACAGTTGTCATACAGTATTCTGCCGTGATCTGATTAAATGCATTTTTCTCAAAATCAAGTTTTCGAGATAATCTCGATTTAGTGCTTTTTGCTAATTAAACAAACACATAGCAATGTGGTTTTGTTTGACTATCCCACATGAAGATAGATCTCATTTACCATGCCTAAACCAAATTTCATTGAATTTGAGCTTAAGACAAACAAATAAATAAGAAGAATGCGTTTTATAAGATCATCCTTGTATTGTTCTCTCCCTCTCCCTCTCTCTCTCTCTCTCTTTACATATATATATATATATATATATATATATATATATATATATATATAGTGTAGTAGTTCTTGATATATATATATATATATATATATATCTTGTCTCCAAGGGAGAAGGCTGACTTGTTTAAACAGGGTAATCAAAATGAGATGGGACCAGATATGGCCTGGAGATATCACACTCACACAAGTCACAAGAATCTTACTTGCACTGGAGGCGGCAACTCTGAGTTGTGAATGAAAACAAATCCTTAATTCATGGTGTATGCATATTCAACTGCTAAAATAATCGGGAGAGTATTTCATTAAGTATTTATTCTAACTAACCTTAAATTTAACTTTAGATTTGAACACACGAACACCAAGGAAAGAAGCAGAGATGTCAGTACTACAATGGCATGTTATACCAGGCAGACAGCCGAAACACTTTAGTAGAGCAAGACAATTATTAATTTTTTATTTCACATTTGGCTGGGATTTTTTCTAGCTTTTCGCGGCCAAGAGCTGGTGTCACGATCTGATTATAGGACGTTAAAAAGTCGAGGAAAAAAAACAAGCACTCGCAGCAGTCAAGATATTATTAGGAGTTAGTTCCCTTCACATCTGTGAGGTAGACTCGACCAGTGTTAGCTTACATAATCAGCGCGTGTGGATGCTTATAACTGTGGCTCGAAAGGGGTGAACAGGGTATGCGACAATGAAACAGTTTTGACTGCTATGCACATGTTCCCTTCAACTTCATTGGTAGACTCTTCCAGCCTCACTTTAAGCTCTCTCTCTCTCTCTCTCTCTCTCTCTCTCTCTCTCTCTCTCTCTCTCTCTCTCTCTCTCTCTCTCTCTCTCTCTCTCTCTCTCTCTCTCTCTCTCTCTCTCTCCCCTTCCCTCCTCCCCCCATCCCGCTCTCTGGCTCTACTGTCTCTGTGTCCCTGTGTGTGTGTGTGTGTGTGTGTGTGTGTGTGTGTGTGTGTGTGTGTGTGTGTGTGTGTGTGTGTGTGTGTGTGTGTATGTGTGTGTGTGTGTGTGTGTGTCATAATTAATAATGTCATTAAGTTTGAAAACTCATTACATAAATCTATATTATAATATGATATAGCTGGGTACTCGTTCGATGGACGGACTCAAAAGAATCGATCGTCAAGTCATTGTGGAAGTTGCAGTGCGCACTACTTCTGAACGGAAGCCTCACTTGTTTACAATTGCGTCTAACAAGACAGACTTTCCCAAGGTTAGACTTAAACGAAACTAATTTTTTTTAAACACCAGAAAATTAAACTACAGTGACTTTAGGATCCACTCAAAAATCAGTCGATATTCTAAAAAAAAAAAGAGGAATACTCTAGATCCAGTTCAATCATTTAAAAAAACGAAAAAAGCAACAACAGTACGGAAAGTTAACGTAACAAGTTTATTCCCGACTTACAAGAGTGTGGGGGTGGTCTACAAAAGTAACACGATCAGTAGCGTTGAGAGCCTGACATTGTCGCCGCATGGAATCAATCAATCGCTGCACTGCCTATTTAGAGAATGTTATTCCACTCTTCATGCAATGCTGTCTCAAGTTGAGGACGTGTCTGAGGTTTGTGTTGTATGTCAGGTTAATCCCTGACTTTGAATGGCTGTAACAGCGTGTTGCCGAAGAATTTCTCCAATGTAACGGTGTGCTGTCCAATTTCCACGAACAGTCACACTGTAGGTTTTGTCAGCTGCTGTAATTCCTCCCCACACCATCACACTTCCGACACCAACATCTCTGGCCTGACTTAGGGGGAGTTCCGACTTAGGCATTGAGGAACGAACCTCTCATTTTTTTCTCCGGAATACGCGTTTTTTTTTTTTTCCATCTTGACGTTCCAAAAGTCCTTGCCTGGCGAGATCAACGGGAATGTATTCTTGCCCAATCAAGCCTGTTTCTGATGTTGTAGGGCGTCAATCTTATGCGGTAAGCTAGGCGCCTTGCTCGGAGTCCAAATTCTTTCAACCGTCTCAATACAGTCAGTTTTTATATTAGTTTGACAGGTTGCATGTTGTTCACCTCAACTCTTGTATGTTTTGCCGTTTTGAAACGATTCGTAGATGCGACAGGCGTATAAAAAGGTCCTGTCTTGGAGTAGTTTTTCCTCTCCCAAGTCGACGGGGTCGATCCTTTAGTGAACCTGTTGTTCTTTCCCAATCCATCGTTGCGTACACGGTTCTTCTTGTTACATTAAAATGTCTCGCATCAATGGATACTGAGGCATTCCCGCGAGTCATTGCAACAAGCTGATTTCGTACATTTTCTATTAGACGTGGCATCATGAAACGTAGATAATACAAGTTTTTATCACTGGCGAATTGTTTACAAAATTTGAAAAGCTTTGATGTGAACTTCATTATTAAACAAATCATTTCCTTGTCATGAGTTATTTTGAAAAAACACAAAACATGCAACACGCACGCTGTAACAAAACCACTCCCGCGTTCAGATATCTGAAAACAACTCACCAGCGACAGTTATATCACATAGTCAGTACATAAATTTGAAAGTTATTTGAGGCATCGATTTGTTTTAATTGAGTTTTGAAATGTGTATACTTAAAAATGTGAAATGATTTTGTACAACCGTTCATTTTTTAAAAATTCGAAAATGGTTCCGAAGTTTTAGGCGACCAAAGTGACGAACTTTCACAAATTATAATATACATTATATATTATATTATACATAGATCTGCATGTTTCCCCCAGACTACCTTCCACACCCTTTCCCAACCCCTGCCCCTACTGTATTGGAGATGTCCACTACTCCTTTCATCATCATCCGGTGCCTTGCCGACTGGCGTGGGCGATCATGGACCTCCACTTCACTCTGTCGTGCGTTGCAGCAATGGTGTCTGTTATTCTTGCTGCTCCTAGCCATGTTGTCATCTTGTCCAGTATCTTTTCCCTCTCTCTGCCTCTTCCTCTCTTTCTATCGAACTTGCCTGTCGTTACAATATTCTCCAATGCTTCTTTCCGCATTCTACTACTCCTTATTGTCCATTTAAAAAATAAACATCTGTTTTTCTTGTGAATAACATTTTGATTCTCAATTAGCCAAATTTCAAACTAAAATAAATCTTATTTCTGTGGGTGGTTGGCGGGTGCTCTGGTGTGGTTTGCTTCTTCTTTCCTATCAAACATCTATCGTCCTTATCTCCCTTTCATTTGTTGTATGTTTGTTACTCTCTTGTAACAGCTTTAATCTTCTGGCGCTCACATGACCTTATGCAGTTGCGAGCGCCGTAAAACCTCTACTAAAATTAAAACTTATTTCTCTTTCCAGGTAATTAGTTTTTCCAAAGTTGTTGCGCCATATCTAAAGGCACTCCTCCCTGAGACGAAGGACTTTTACCTGCATAATACCGGCGGAAATGTTTGCCTACAACAAACGCCCTTCCTTCGTCTTCATCGGCAACTTGACATTGTCCACACCCAAGACACCATTCCACAGTGACCAGTATCCACTTTGAGATCTCATCGTAGTCACAAGTACATATTCATATAGACCAAGGCATAGTGACCAAACCAGATCATAGGGACCAATATCGCACCATAGAGACCAGTGACAATTCCTAGACCACACCATAGTGACAAAACCACGCCATGGTGATCAATACCACACAATAGAACCAGTGACCATACCTAGACCACACCATAGTGACCAAACCAGATCATAGTGCCCAATATCACACCATAGAACCAGTGACCATACCTAGACCACAGCATAGTGACCAAACCAGATCATAGTGACACATACAACGCTATAGTGACCAGTGCCTACTTTTAGACCACATCATAGTGACCAGTGACCATTCCTGAGACCACACCGTGGTGACCAGTTCATACTCATAGACCACAGCATAGTGACAAAACCACGTCATAGTGATCAATACCACACCATAGAACCAGTGACCATACCTAGACTACAGCATAGTGACAAAACCAGATTATACTTACCAAAGTACACTATAGTGATCAGTGCCCACTCCGAGACTACACCGTGGGGAAAAGTGCACATCCCTAGACCCCACCATACTGACAAAAAACAACAACCAGACGATAATGAGCAATACCACATCACAGTGACCAGTGCCCACTCGGAGACTACACCGTGGTGACCAGTACACACTCATAGACCACACCATAGTGACAAAACCAGATCATAGTGACCAGTGACCATTCCTGAGACCACACCGTGGTGACCAGAACACACTAATAGACCACACCATAGTGACAAAACCAGATCATAGTGACCAATACCACACTGTAGTAACGGGTGTCCACTCCTAGACCACACAAGAGTGACCGCTGTCCACTCCTAGGCCGGGAGACAATGTTTGCCACCAACACCCGTCGCTGCCTCACCTTCTTCCTCCTGGTCTTGTCGCTTCTCGTTCTCTTCCTCGTTCTCCTGGATAAACGAGCCACCGACCAAATTCGCCAATTACACGCTTACGTCACTTCCTTCAGGGCCTCTACGTCACTCGGGCACTTGCCACGCCCCTTCCTAAACGCTACTCCAAACGACACGACCGCCGCCATGTTGTTTTCACATGCCTGGCGGTATCTGCAACACGGTGTCAATAACACTGCTAACCCAAAACTAACTTCACTTGGATTCGAACCTACTGACCTCCACGAGTTCAAGTCACCGTACATCATCACACCAAAGATTTACCCCCACCCAGACGCAGGAGAGGGAAGAAAGGAGGAGGGTAGCTCTCGTAAAGTGAAGACCGTGTCTTGCTTCAACTGCCCGCAGTGGTTCAAAAATCATCCACTGAACCGCCAGAACGCGAACTTTGAGGCGTGTCCTTACCAACATTGCAAGCTCGATCTAAGCGGCCGGCAAAAGGCGACTGCTGACATGGTCATCTTTTTTGTCGGGCAATTGGGCAACCGCAAGCCGCCCCCTAGAGCCATGGGTCAAATCTGGGTCATGGCCTTCTGGGAATCCCCGGTGCACTATTCTTATCCAAGTACGTTCTCTCAACAGGGTTTTGTTGTTGTTGTTTGTTTAAGTTTAAGTAAACATTTTACGACACTTTGAATTAGGTCGAGTAAATGCCGAAGGTTAAAGGTGTTACAGGTGAGCAACAAACATGAAAAGGAGAAGAGATAAAGACGATAGATGTTTGATAGGAAAGAAGAAGCAAACAACACCAGAGGACCCACCAACGTATCGCTCTTGACAGGTTCAGAGAAAAAGAAATGTAAGGGAAAAAAGGAAAAGGGTGAAGATAAAAGTTGGAATGTTTTGGGGGTTTTTATGTGGGTTTTTTTGTTTTGTTTTGGGGCTGTTGTTTTG